AACCAGTTAATCATATAATAGGTATGTTTCTCTGCAGGATTAAACCAATGGGCCAAAATGGTATCAGTTGGGATCATGTGCAGACAAATATTCAATATAAAAAGGACTGTTTGTAAGAAAATATGGCATCACCTTTATCTATAGGCCATTAACATTAAGCCCGATTCAGCTCAGTAAGAGGTGACTTACTAATTACCAATGTTCATATATCCAATTACATGTAATTACAAAAACAGCATTACAAGGAATCATTGCATTCACATACTGACTATAGTGCTGCACCAATATGCCAAGCTGATAAGAATGGTTCACCTCAGGTGACGATTCAGCATTTCTGAGAACATGATCTGCCAGAGTAAGCAGGCAGCATTACCACATAGACCAGGCAGGGAGATCCAGCTACGTCTTAGAGGAGACTGCCTCTGAGGAGAAACACTATCCAATCCTCATTAAGTCTCTATTGAACAAGTGAAAGAAACTGGATCTACGTAACGATGGAACAGTGTCATTGTTGCTTACTGCTGTTGAGTTATACACAGAGTAGGGGAGTTCATAAGCCACTGAGGACGGCATTAAGACCCATTCTGTTTGACTGGCATTTTAGAAATTGGTAACAATAAAGGCTTTTAGGATGACAACAGTATAAGATTCTATAACAAAACTTAGCATCATGATATAATACAGAAACTGTCATCTATTACAAGTATCTTGCCTTTAGGAAGTACAGGAGTTAAAAAGCTACTGAGTAACGTCATCAGTCTTGTGTTACACAGAGTTGTGTTGAAAGCCCACTGAGGTTGGTGAGCTGTGGAGCAGTGGTTGTCATGTACAACCTCAACTCTACCTCATGTCCCATTACTATCACACAGAGAGTGAGTAAGTTTAGTTTTAGCAATATTCCAGCAATATCATGGCAGGGGACACCAGAAATGGGCTTCACACATTGTACCTATGTTGGAAATCGAACCTAGGTCCTCAGTGTGACGAGCGGATGCTTTAACCACTAGGCTACCCCACCGTCCTGTCATACAGAGAATAGGAGAGTATTTATGATCCAACACTGGTGACACTGACATGTACAGTGATGCTGACATGTACAACTGCTTTTGGCCACGCCTGCTTCAAGGAACACAGCAGACAATCATTGACTTCTCTAGGAGAAGATTCGGACGGATCCCACCAGCCGGGACATCACTGCATGAAAACACTACAGTACGCAGAGTGAACAACAGAATACTGATTAACACATCACTGGCCATGTATAAGCTGTTCACAGCAAGAAATGATTTAAAAATGAATGAGTGATCAACTTCTTTGAGTGGCATTTTTAGAAGTTGGAGAGTCTTGATATGGACAAACTTCATGGATGAACAACTTGTTTATTTAGGTGGTGAATTCATCACACACCCTGAATAAACAAGTTGTTTATTCAGGTGGTGAATTCATCACAACCCTTGAATAAACAAGTTGTTTATTCAGGTGGGGAATTCATCACACACCCTGAATAAACAAGTTGTTCATCCATAAAGTAAGTCCATATCTATGAGTGATCAGTTGAACAGTGTTTTGGTTATATATAGCATTGTGTCAGCTTACTTTGGGATGAAATCCTGAAGTGATCCATTTTGGAGATGGTTATGACTTAAGTGAAACTCTAGAGCTTGAGTATGTGCAAAATCTGAAAACATATTTACAGCAAAACAAAACCCATGATCAAGGGTCTCTGGCAAGCCTGAAGAACACAACCCTGCACAACACATTATGATGCCTTACATCACTAGGCCACCTGTGTCTCCCCTATCCAGCTATTTATTGGGTGCACAACTGTCATACCCTGAAACCACTATTTACATTTATCACAGTCCTGTGAACAAGTGGTGTTATCATGACAAGGTTGAACTGATCCTTGTCAGTCCGATGTTCTCCGTGTTCACTAAAGATCCCGGGCCATCTCCCACAAACTGTTCATCCTTCATTACACCTCAGACAGCATGAAATGCCAACAGCAAGATTCCAAATTTAGATAATTTGCATCCCTGTCTTGTGGGACTTTGATTGGTCTACACTAAGTGATTGCTCCTTAAACATCACACAAGCCAGGCCTCTTGGACACTTCTGTTACACAAAACATGGTCCTGTGATTTAGCACTCTGACAGTCCTTGCCCTGAACACACGACTCAACAGGGAACCTGAAGACATGGCTACCAAATCAATAGGATCTACACTACACATGCCCATGATCAAATCATGCCATCATTCACTACCCGATATGTCATTACAGGGTGGAAGTATTCAAGTTGTTGATAGCTGGTTCTACATTTCCACCTTTGTGCAACTTGATGCAGATACTAGCCAGTAGTAATTTATTGAGGCCTGCTCCCTGCTGATGTTCAGCCCTAGGTCTGCAGTAAATGTCAGCAGAAGTTTCCTCATTTAGATGCTCCAAGCTTCCCATATCGATAACTAATGTGCTGGCTTGGTAAAGGTGACTTGTACTTCACTGATAACATGGCAGTCAAAGAGAAGGAATTATTGTTTAGTTTTACAATACTGCATCAAATTAAATGTTAAACTAAAATGTTAATGTCTCTGAATCTAAGAAAATAAAAACTGATCTAAATCTAAAATAAAAATTCTGAAGAAAAACCCAACTGTTTCCCAATTTGCTGTCCATGAGACTTTTAATCCTCCCAACTTCATTAGAGTCACAAAATAACATGATTATTAATTAACAAAGAGTGCATGATGTTTGCCCTGAAATACCAATACTTATAAGGTGAATACAATTGTTTCTACTTTTCTTGCCAAGAGACTTTTAATTCTTGCCACTTGAACAGAATCACAAGATACATGTAACATGAGTAATAATTAATAAAGAGAGTAGGATGTTCGTCTTTACTTATAAGGTGAAAACATGCCATTAATATAAAATTCTCTCCAAACAAATTTGATGCTAACCCCGTTGTCTTCGATTTGTTTTACTGCCACTGAACAGCATTAAGCACAGGATTGGAAACAGAGTTGTCCTAACACAAAATCTGTTATTTGAAGAACAGAATCCTGATGAATACTGTTGGCTCAAGGATAAAAAAGATTCTTAATGATTTTTCTTATTCCAAACTGACACTTACGGTGATCAGAACAAAGACCAGCATATACAACATAAGGACGCAACAATAAGGAGGAATTGTTGGTTATTAGATTAGCATTAAATATTCATCCTTTCAGCCAGCAAACATGACCAGTAGATTCCCATAGATGTCAGAGGTAGCTGCTTACAATCAATAAATACTTGGCAACATGTAACCAACAGTGACAATTTTAATACCACATTCTATATTCCATTTGCAAACATGTGAAACAATATCACTATATATCTGTTCCACAAAAACATGTGAAACAACAGGCTAAACAGTACTTAAAACACGTGGAAGATAAGAGTCGTAATGTATACACAAGGAGGCAAATATGATTCATATAATGAATACTGGTACATGAATGTGATTATTTATTCATGAATACAACAGTCAAGCAGTTGATGTATTACTCATAATATCAAATAACAACAAATAAATACATGACACAATGCCGTCAAGAGCTAATGGTTTGGTTCACAGTACAGTAAGGCCTAAAAAACCAAATGTTGTGGTTCCGATTACCTGACCGACCCTTGAATTCTGGTGCCGACCCTATCTTTTTCAGGCGGTATGAATAAAATGAGCTTTCAGATACCATTGTTTTTTCCCATCACTGACAGACATCGGTCACCCTGATAGAGAAAGTCGACATGATGGCAGCAAGCTTGCTTGAATAAACAATTACACATTTATAAATGTGTTATTAGTTTGTACTTCACTTTTAAAAAAAGGTAACATTTTAAAAAAAAATCCTACCTACCCAGCCTAAATTTCAAAGAGATGTAATCGGAACCACATTTTTTTATTTGGCCTAAGGCACCTTGGCAAACTTGCTACGAGACTTCGCTTCTATATATTCCATCTGTGTATATTTGATTCTAGTGACTACTTTACGAATTGAATTAAAAAAAGGACCCGGTCCAAATCACTGAATGCTTGAAAGAACCATTACAGCCTCATGAAAAATAACAGCAAATGTATGAAACAGGACTTAAAAAAATGTGTATTACTGAATAAGTATATAGGACATGGCGCTTCGGAGTATATTCTTACGTTGTGTTCCTCAAATAAAGAAGTTGACATCAATAAATTCTCGCTTTTATGTGTATCATTTTTAAATGTCGTTCAAAGACAATATAGGATACACAACACAAGGAGTTAGGTCCGGAGGTTACTCAGTAGGACCCATATACCATACAGCTACCCACCTGAGGGTACTCAGTAGGACCCATGTACCATACAGCTTCCCACCTGAGGTTACTCAGTAGGACCCATGTACCATACAGCTACCCACCTGAGGGTACTCAGTAGGTCCCATGTACCTACCATACAGCTACCCCACCTGAGGTTACTCAGTAGGTCCCATGTACCTACCATACAGCTCCCCACCTGAGGTTACTCAGTAGGACCCATGTACCTACCATACAGATATGGCTGAAATATTGCCAAGGTGACGTTAAATTCTAACTCTCACCTACCATACAGCTACTCACCTGAGGTTACCACACAATATACTAAAGACAAAATGTCTCTCTGACTATCAGGCATTCCTTCATACTGTCATATTGTGTCATATGTGTACCTAAACCCTTTCCCCATGGCTCCAGTCACACAACTTCAAATCAGACATTCTGTACCCAACCTCGGAGACCTTCAGCAGGTACCGCGGTAGGGTTGGGTAAAAGGCAGCTGCGTGCCCAGTAGTCAATTTGGAATCATTCCCCAGTAATAAGGTTCAATAACAATGTGTTTGACAGTCCTGTAAGCATGAACATCCTGGGTGAGACAAGACAATAATAAACGACTCTTAACATGACCCCAGTGCATTTAACTTCAGCAGCTGTAGAGAAAAACTTTCTTACCGACTTCATCAAGAGCAGATTTCTCCAGAGCTTCGAGCTTTTGACGCTTGATGGCATTCTGCAGAAGGCGTTCCCGGGCAGGGTCATACTGTCGGTCAGCGACGGGTCCAGCAAGGATGTACACATCTTCCAGAAATAGGTGGATGTTGGAAGAAAACAGACTCGTCCAGGGGATGTCTAGCTTCAGGTGACCTACAGCAGAATACCAACATTAACTTCCAAACTTTCAATAAGGTGAGCTAAAATGAGGAATGTCTAGCTTCAGGTGACCTACAGCAGAATACCAACATTAACTTCCAAACATTCAATAAGGTGAGCTAAAATGAGGAATGTCTAGCTTCAGGTGACCTACAGCAGAATACCAACATTAACTTCCAAACTTTCAATAAGGTGAGCTAAAATGAGGAATGTCTAGCTTCAGGTGACCTACAGCAGAATACCAACATTAACTTCCAAACTTTCAATAAGGTGAGCTAAAATGAGGAATGTCTAGCTTCAGGTGACCTACAGCAGAATACCAACATAAACTTCCAAACCTTCAATAAGGTGAGCTAAAATGAGGAATGTCTAGCTTCAGGTGACCTACAGCAGAATACCAACATTAACTTCCAAACTTTCAATAAGGTGAGCTAAAATGAGGAATGTCTAGCTTCAGGTGACCTACAGCAGAACACCAACATTAACTTCCAAACTTTCAATAAGGTGAGCTAAAAACGAGGGATGTTTATCTTCAGGTGACATAGAGCAAAACCAACAAAAACTTCTGAACTTTCAATAAGGTGAGCTAAAAACGAGGGATTTCTAACTTTCGGTGACTTAAACCAGAATACCAATATAACGTTCAATAAAGTAACCTACTGTCATTCTGCAGAAGGGGAAGCTTTCTGAGTCAAGTTGTTGTCCGAGATCAAGCAAAGGTCAGTTTGGTTTTGTATCAATGAAACTTAAACTTTAATAGCCACTAGACTACAAGATAATTACACATATGTGTACAAACATTTTAACATTAACAAGAAAACATAGACTGCAATATATACTTTTTGCTGTTATGAGCACTTGTAAGAGTCATGTAGAGATGTCTTGAAGTTGGTAAGGGGGTGCTTATTGGAGCAAGTTCAAAATATGGTGTGGCAAATGCTTCTAGACCATATTGCAAAATATATTACATCATGATAATTTTTCTTCCATTGCTTAATGTCCTTAAAGTCTTATTAAACTTAGGAAATAATCATTAAATACATTGCAAGAAGAGTATCCTTTCACTTTATTTTCACACTCATTTAATTCAGTCAAACAGGCAAGAAAAGAGAATGATCTTGTAAGTCAGGTTAAGCATGTGAAGGAACATCATTTATTCAGCATTAGCAGGTGCTTGTATTCTGTGGCAAACAAGTGTGTAAGTGTCAGATAAAGATTTCTCTGACAGAATGTCGAAAGGAACGCTAAGCCCCCTCAAAAGGTGAGACAGCACTATTATCCTATACACATGACACTTTGGAACACTGATACCTTGACAACAAAACACATCCCAGGTGCTGAACCTCCGCTGAATAAAAACACAGTGATTTATTGATCTTCTTTCAACTGTTTCCATTTACGGATTATTCTTTATTGCCTGAACGGCTCCCCTTCGGTATCAGGGGTGACAGAGCTTCTAAAGGCCACTAAACACATCAGTGTCACCAAGTGATCAAAAAATGGTCCTCTCATTCACAATCATCAACCCCTGATGATTACATATTGATATTTGACGTCAAATACATCTATTAATTACTTTTTTTGTGATCTGTTTCATTGATTTACACCTAGTTTCCATCAAACAGCCAATCTGTGGTGATGGTGACTGCTGGCTATTATGACATGGACATGGGGGCTATAGACGCAACTTTGCTATGTACAGGCTTTAGCTACAATCTTTGGAGTGGTTGGTGGTCCCAAGCAGGGAATAATAGCCTACATATTTAACATCTGCAACACGATGAGAGCAGTTGTTATATTTTTCAATTTTTGCAATATTTGTCAAACTGCCACAATAATCAAATTAAGTTGTGATAATCAAGCACAACATATGAAGCACAACATCCCAGTACAGTTTTGAATCTCATTTGGTATGTTTGGAAATGAACTTAAACATTACACACAATATTTTTAATTTCAAGTGAAAGTTGATACTTCGTTTGCACTGGCAAGCATTTGTTTCCAAAAAGAATTGTCAAAATCCTTCCCCCACTCCATCCTACCCCAGTAAAATCCCTACCGCACGCCCACCTCCATCCTACCCTAGTCACATACCTACCCCAACCCACTCCCACCTACCCCAGTCACATCCCTACCCCAACCCACTCCCACCTCCATCCTACCCCAGTAACATCCCTACCCCAACGCACTCCCAACACCATCATACCCCAGTAACATCCCTACCCCAACCCACTCCCACCTTCATCCTATCCCTGTCACATCCCTACCCCAACCAACGCCCACCTTCATCCTATTCCAGTCACATCCCTACCCCAACCCACACCCACCTTCATCCTACCCCAACCCACGCCCAACACCATCATACCCCAGTAACATCCCTACCCCAACCAATGCCCACCTCCATCCTATCCCAGTCACATCCCTACTCCCCAACCCACTCCCCACCTTCATCCTATCCCCTGTCACATCCCTACCCCCAACCAACACTCCACCTTTTCATCCTATCCCCCAGTAACATCCCTACCCTAAACCACTTCCACCTTTCATCCTATCCTAGTCACATCCCTACCCCAACCCACACCCACCTTCTCTCATCCTATTCCAGTCACATCCCTACTCCCAACCCACACCCACCTTTCATCCTACCCCAACCCACGCACAACACCATCATACCCCAGTAACATCCCTACCCCAACCCACTCCCACCTTCATCCTATCCCAGTCACATCCCTACCCCAACCCACACCCACCTCGATCCTATCCCAGTCACATCCCTACCCCAACCCACACCCACTCTTCATCCTACCCCCAGTAACATCCCTACTCCCAACCAACACCAACCGGCCATCCTACCCCAGTAACATCCCTACCCCAACCCACTCCCACCTTCTTTCATCCTATCCCAGTAACATCCCTACTCCCAACCAACTTCCACCTCCCATCCTATCCCAGTCACATCCCTACCCCAACCCACTCCCACCTTCATCTTATCCCTGTCACATCCCTACCCCAACCAACTCCCACCTTCATCCTATCCCAGTAACATCCCTACCCCAAACCCACCTTCATCCTATCCCAGTCACATCCCTACCCCAACCCACACCCACCTTCATCCTATTCCAGTCACATCCCTACCCCAACCCACACCCACCTTCATCCTACCCCAACCCACCAACACCATCATACCCCCAGTAACATCCCTACCCCAACCCTGCTCCCACCTTTCATCCTATCCCAGTCACATCCCTACCCCCAACCCACCCCACCTACCTCCATCCTATCCCAGTCACATCCCTACCCCAACCCACACCCACCTTCATCCTACCCCAGTAACATCCCTACCCCAACCAACACCAACCTTCATCCTACCCCAGTAACATCCCAACTACCCCAACCCACTCCCACCTTCATCCTATCCCAGTCACATCCCTACCCCAACCCACGGTCCAACTCCATCCTACCCGAGTCACATCCCTACCCCAACCCACACCCACCTTCATCCTACCCCAGTCACATCCCTACCCCAACCCACTCCCACCTTCATCCTATCCCAGTCACATCCCTACCCCAACCCACGGTCCAACTCCATCCTACCCGAGTCACATCCCTACCCCAACCCACACCCATCTTCATCCTACCTCAGTCACATCCCTATCCCAACCTACTCCCACCTCCATTCATGCCCCAACCTACTCTCATTCCAATCCATCCCTTCCATCTCCCCATAAATGCTCCCCTCCACCCCACAACGTACATCATCACTCATCCATCCCCAGTCACCACTCGCATCTATCTCTATCCCCATCCATCACTTTCCTACTCCCACCCCATCCATGATTTTCCCACTCCACTCATGTTTCTATCCATCCCCACACAACTCAAATCCCCAACCCGATCCTATCCCAACCATCCCTACTCCCCATTCCATTCACATCCCTACCCCTCATTCCATTCACATCCCTTCCCCCCATCCACTCACATCCCTTCCCCCATCCACTCATCCCTTCCCCCCATCCACTCACATCCCTACCCCCCATCCACTCACATCCCTTCCCCCATCCACTCACATCCCTTCCTCCATCCACTCACATCTCTATCCACTCACATCCCTACCCCCGATTCCACTCACATCCCTACCCCCCATCCACTCACAACCCTACCCTCCATTCCACTCACATCCCCACCCTCCATTCCACATCCCACCCTGCTATAGACACAGTAATGATCTGGTGCCTGTATTACACTGGGGCCTTGACACACTGACTAGGACACAGCACCATTGTATTGAGGAAACAAGGCAGAGATAATGCAACTCCGCCCACATAGTTAATACTTTCTTAGGTTGAAAGCTGAAGCTTAAGTGTCATTTCAATGTTTGGCATTTACAGTGAAACAATTAAATACTTTATCTCCACAATGGCTTCCTGTTATCTACTTCTCTTTTGGACCTTTCACACAAAATGGGCTCAAACAAAATTGATTTTACTAGAAGATGGTTGATTGCTGCAAGCTACTTCCAGCAGGGGAACACATTTATTGAATGTTTCACCCAAACATGGACTGGAGTTGTTTTCCGGTATGCAGTTCGATGCAGCTCAATGTGACCTTTGTGATTACAGCAAGCATTATTCTGTCTTTATGAATCGATACATAAGTTTGTAATCCTGCCTGCAAATTTACTGTGGCCATGCTGTAGCCATGTTTCTTGAAAACATCCAACTATCTCTATAGGAATATCTGACCATGGTTGAAGTGCTTCAGGAAGAGGTATCCCCTGCCGGACAAAGGTAACAGCATCTGTACTGAAGCCTACATCGAAAGCCTTAAGAAGTTGACATGCCTGTATCAACTCTGTCATTGCTGTTTAAGCCAAGTCCAAGGATGTATTCTGACTGGCAAGAACTGCTACTTCAGAATCCTTATCCTATTACAACAAACTAAGAAACAGTGATCCTGTTAATTGAAACAGTACCATTTGAAGTAGAATAATCCACATTAACCAATTTCCAGATTAAAGACTCACTCCCAGTGTCCTTTACACATGTAACTGATGTATGTTCCCAGTAGCAGCTGTAAGAGGGGTTGCCAGTAGCTTCTACTGCAGCCCAGAGGTGCTACTGCTTCTACTGCTCCCTAGAGTAGCTACTACTTCTACTGCTGCCTAGAACTGCTACTGCTTCTACTGCTGCCTAGAACTGCTACTGCTTCTACTGCTGCCTAGAACTGCTGCTGCTTCTACTTCAGCCTAGAACTGCTACAGCTTCTACTTCAGCCTAGAACTGCTACTGCTTCTACTGCTGCAGAGTTGCTACTGCTGCCTAGAACTGCTGCTGCTTCTACTTCAGCCTAGAACTGCTACAGCTTCTACTTCAGCCTAGAACTGCTACAGCTTCTACTTCAGCCTAGAACTGCTACTGCTTCTACTTCAGCCTAGAACTGCTACTACTTCTACTGCTTCCTAGAACTGCTACTGCTTCTACTTCAGCCTAGAACTGCTACTGCTTCTACTTCAGCCTAGAACTGCTACTGCTTCTACTTCAGCCTAGAACTGCTACTGCTTTTACTGCTGCAGAGTTGCTACTGCTTCTACTTCAGCCTAGAACTGCTACAGCTTCTACTTCAGCCTAGAACTGCTACTGCTTCTACTTCAGCCTAGAACTGCTACAGCTTCTACTTCAGCCTAGAACTGCTACTGCTTCTACTGCTGCAGAGTTGCTACTGCTTCTACTTCAGCCTAGAACTGCTACTACTTCTACTTCAGCCTAGAACTGCTACTGCTTCTACTTCAGCCTAGAACTGCTACAGCTTCTACTTCAGCCTAGAACTGCTACTGCTTCTACTTCAGCCTAGAACTGCTACAGCTTCTACTTCAGCCTAGAACTGCTACTGCTTCTACTTCAGCCTAGAACTGCTACAGCTTCTACTTCAGCCTAGAACTGCTGCTGCTTCTACTTCAGCCTAGAACTGCTGCTGCTTCTACTTCAGCCTAGAACTGCTACAGCTTCTACTTCAGCCTAGAACTGCTACTGCTTCTACTGCTGCAGAGTTGCTACTGCTTCTACTTCAGCCTAGAACTGCTACTACTTCTACTGCTTCCTAAAACTGCTACTGCTTCTACTTCAGCCTAGAACTGCTACTGCTTCTACTTCAGCCTAGAACTGCTACTGTTTCTACTTCAGCCTAGAACTGCTACTGCTTTTACTGCTGCAGAGTTGCTACTGCTTCTACTTCAGCCTAGAACTGCTACAGCTTCTACTTCAGCCTAGAACTGCTACTGCTTCTACTTCAGCCTAGAACTGCTACAGCTTCTACTTCAGCCTAGAACTGCTACTGCTTCTACTGCTGCAGAGTTGCTACTGCTTCTACTTCAGCCTAGAACTGCTACTACTTCTACTTCAGCCTAGAACTGCTACTGCTTCTACTTCAGCCTAGAACTGCTACTGCTTCTACTTCAGCCTAGAACTGCTACTGCTTCTACTTCAGCCTAGAACTGCTACTGCTTCTACTTCAGCCTAGAACTGCTACTGCTTCTACTTCAGCCTAGAACTGCTACTGCTTCTATTGCTCCCAAGAGCTGCTACTGCTTCTACTCTGACCAGAGTTGTGACTACTTCTATTGCTGCCCAGAGCTGCTATAACTCAAAGTTGCTACTTGTACTTCTGTTAAAAGTTGCTGTTGCTACTGCTCCTGTTCCCAACAATTGTTGCTGTTGCCCAAAGTTCCCTTTGCAGTTAACACTCCCCAATGTTGCTGCTACTACCATTTCTACTTCCCAATATGGTTACCACAGCTACTACTACAAAAAGTTGTGATTGATCTTGCTGTAACTCATGTTACAGCTACCAAAGTTGCTGTTATGAAATTCTTGCCAAAGGTTAGTATTGCTATTGATCTTAGTGCTACAACCATCATAATATGGGTGTTAAGGCAATCTTAACACAGAGGTTGCTTCGTGATACTGGTTTGACATGGTACTACACAGTGTTGCTGCTAATCACAGCAGCTGCTACTATTGGTATTATCAAATAATGCTGAGTGCTGCTGCTCAAAGACTGCTTTCCCTATATTTGGAAGAACTCTAATACTTCTGATGATGCTACTTTCCAAAGTACAATCATTTTAACCATATCTCATTACTGATTTTCCAGATAGTTCCACAAAGATCAAAGACTTGTGTCTCTCTTAATGACAGGTCATCTGGATTATCTATTGTCTACAAAGTTCATCTGCATGCCAAGATCAATACAGCTGTATGTTTGGAGTGGCCTCTAATGAATGTTCTCTCACCTATGTATCCAGCCTTCACCTCGATCGGCAGGTCCAGCTGGGACTGAAACGAGGAAAAAACACATCAATATCTACACAATGACTGCAGCATCTTTGAACACACACGACACAGGAAGATCATAAGACCATATTGATTCACGGTTCCAGCATTTACACTGATGCATATTCAGCGATATACACCATGATATTAATAAGACACGTAACCAGCGTGAAATAAAAGTCTGTCTAGAGATTAGTTGCATACATGTTGCTATCCCCATGGTACAGGACTGATGCAAGTCATTAGGAAGGTAGTATGACAGAGAATGAAACAAAAATAGACCAGAATGAAGAATGGAAGAAGAAAAACAATGCTGAAGATTATTGATTTTCTCCTGAATTTCAGGACAGCTGGAAGTGTATTGTTCCATGTTATCAGCAGGACATTGCGTATATGCAAAGTTTATTCATCACCACATGGACAGTAAAATGTTGGCTGGTAAATGAACTCAATCAGTATCCCTGTCAGACATGACGCTGATCTTTCCTGAATCAATGCTAGTTAGCGGAGGCTGATATTTGGTCAAGTGATAGACTTCCGGTCTCATTAGATGCATGCTTGAGCCAAAACACTGACACTGTATGATTGTGCATGTGTGAGTCTGTCTGTGGGCGTCTGTCTATCCATGTTCATGAGTCTGCACGCACGCTGGCTCGGAGCTGACCAGTCCTGTTATGAACACCTTTCTGCTGAGCGCTACACTGGGTATCAACCAGCACCATATTTTAATATCTTTTGCTACAATGTAGGTACAGAGTACTGTTTTATTCTTCTTAACATATACCAGTAACGGAAACATGACACGTGTTCATACACTGTATACCTTTTAAATCAAACAAGAAGAAAGTGCCACCAGGTGTACAACAACCACTGAGCAGCCAAAAACCGGGAGTTGGTTTTTACCTCATTATGATCTTCTCGACTCATGGACACAAACATATTACAGTAAAATACCTTTATAACGAACTCCAAGGGACCACTGAAATTAGTTATATTCCTTAGTTCACTATTCACTTTTTTATATGATAATATAAGGTTTATTTGGGACTTTTAAAACAGTTCGCTATAGCCGTCAGTTCATTATATCCGTGTTCGTTATAAAAGTATTCTACTGTAAATGTCTCTCATTAGCGCACCTTGTATTATGGAGAAGTCATGAGAATCTTTTGATTCCGGAAGTAGAATCAGCAAGCACCAGACTCGGGTGATAAACCATGTTATGAAGCTATATTGCCTATGTTATGTTTATTAAATGCAGGTTGAGAATGACCACAGACAGAATTCCTGGGTCAGTATTCAATGCAACAACATCAGAGTGATGTTATTCGTAATGGTGTAAATTGTAATGCTAGCTTGTCCACAAAACCATCTTGTCAATTATTTTAACAGTCATTTCATAACACAGATTTCAAAATTTTAGTTTGGACTAAACAACATCGTCAGTCATTGAATCATTCTAAATGGGTTCAATAATATGACTGAAACAGCATAGATCATGCAGTCATCAGATTTTGCGTTAGTAACGGACAGTCCACATTTTTTTAATTTGCCTGAAACATTTCCAGACTTTGTGTGCCTTGTATCATGAATGTTTGGATAAACTCCCCGAGTGGTGATGTGTCATAAGTAAAGGACCAAACCTTCCATTGTTGCATTCTAGTGGGAATAAAACACAAGTTTTCATTCTGAATAGAGAACATTACTAGGCTAATCCACATCCACCTGAACATTATGAAGAGGATTATAAATTATTATTTCATGCCAGTTCGCTGGTTAGTGCTCAATATGCTCATTATCCACAAATGTCCCTAGCACGAAACCCTTCACATATTAAAACCAAAATATGTGTAATTCATGAGTACATACAAATTTGAAGTCCCAAGACGCACAACAAACCATTCTAATTCCCGTACCAGTGTAATCTATTAATACCTAGTACCTGTTTCGCGAAGGCCTCCGGACTTCTCTGGAATACCTTGTGCACAGGCCATGTATAAACTGATTGAACACTGTGTTAACACAAACCCTGTAAACCTAATGAGAATCGGAATATCTCTGGAGGGGAGTTGTGGTAATGTGGCAGGCTTAATTGGCACGCTACCTCCATCAGATCACACTGTGAATAATGTGCTTAGAAAAAAACATTTTGTCTGAGAGGAAAAAGTATTAAGTTCTAAAGCTAACTTGGCTGACAATGCTATTTCCGCTATCTTAAAGTGTGGTGAGGTAGCCCAGTAGTTACAGAGTATGCTCATACAGTTTGAACCCTGTTTTTGATTCCTGACATGGTTACAATGTATGAAGCCTAGATTTGGTCAGAGTGGTATGTATCATATGTTACAACTGGGATTACAGATTCTAATACTGTTTGGTTGAGTCCCATCTGGGATGTGAACCTGCACTCGCACAAAGTCAGCACGGCATAAATGGAAGTTTGAAAACTGGTAGTCTAAATCTTGTACTTTGTGTGCTTCTCTGGCAAGCATCAATGTACCCAACCGAGTGATATGATTGGACTATTAATATAGTTAATTAAACCATATCATTAAGTTTACAGCATCTGCTGAATATGCAAACACAAGGACTAACATCACTTTGAACAGTGAGTATACACCGGTGCCAAGTTTTCAATGTTTCCTTAGCCAGAATCTTCTGGTCAGGACACCAAAGTCAGTTCTGACTATGGTTGCTTAACCAGTACCAACGTGATACTGAAACTCAGTTGATAATCGTATCCCTTAGTTTCTATTTCAACAACATTCTTCCATTAACACAAGTGGAGTATCCAGATTGGACGGGTGCAACACATAAACAAACTTCCTACCAGCTGTTAAACAAGCATGTTTGTATCTGACAGTTAAAGGTTAAAAATTTCCCTTTCTTTATTGGTCTCTGAATACATATTTTTATTTTACTTATTTATATTTTTTATTATTAGTCCTCTGTTTCATGGATTGTAATATTTAGGACATAAACGTACTGTGTTTGGAAATTAGATGAATGTTAGACTGAATTGATAGTCTCTAAATTAATCATTTGAAACCTCACGCTACGCGTTCGGCTTCAAATGACTATCAATTCGGTCTAACATTCATCTAATTTCCAAACACAGTATGTTTATCTCCATTCTACCATAACTGATTTAACATCGAACCTCACTCATCCTGCGGAAGACACTGTGTAATCCGGCATGGGACGAGAGGCGAATTGAACTCGTCTGTGAAGGGAGTGGTAGGTGCCGTTCGTACTTTTTTTAACATTGCAACATAACAAATATTCTGTCCAAAGAACACAAACTACTGTTTATTCAATGCAATAATGCAACACCTAAGAGCTTGGTTTCTATAATCATAACTCCACACGACCGAAATGAGCCTATTGTTTTATGTGCCGTGTTACTGTGCTCCCCTGGCCACACTAAAATGGAATCGTCTAACCTACTTATTTTCTTGGAAGTAGACAGTTACGCAACAGTTTGAAATGGCGGATGAGCCAGTGTTTACATTTTGTGAAAGGTTGAAATTCGAAGTGACAGTGGAAAATACTTGACTGACTGTCGAACCTGAACCCTGCAGAATCGAAGAATACATCCTTTTCTGATCGACCTATGACCTGTAACTCATCAAAGACTGTTGATATTTATGACCGGCGAGTGTCGATCATGATTTCACGTACGTGCCTCCACCCTGGCATGCGACGAAAGAGTGACAGTGCTGCTTTGTGTACATGCAACTAACTTGGGATTCCTTGGAACATTGTTCTCATCATTTAGGACTGGATTTTGGCCAAGCTTTTCAAAGTGTACGAACAAAGCAGTGACAGCCGTGCGGGGAAGGTGGCAGAGGGCGGAATTCTTGAGGTTCAATTTTTTGACATTTTGAACGATGCAACGGGACATATTGGAGTATGAGTGGCATACATTTTTGTTTCTCACCTGACCGCTATCTTGCTTGAATTTCCCATTCTAAACGGAAATGAAATATACCATTTACCAGGTAGGTAAATGTTTACGAACGTTTTTCCCCACAAATAGGGATAGATAGGGATGTATTTTTACAAGGTTTTCTGATTTATATGTTAGATATTGTTTGTTTATGTTTGGAGCTGTGCAGTGTAATTGAGTTTGAATATTTTTATAATAGAAGATAATAATTATGATAGTGAGGTTCCCTAATAATTGTGGAGGAGAAATCGTATAATTGTATTTTTCGAGTTTTAATAAATGTTTCATCAGCATTTCCATCACGTCTGTTGTGTTGATATTAGTCATGTTGGTGGCCAAGCTGAAGTAGTGCGGCAGTGTTGTATACGTGCGCAGTGAAGTGCCGTGAAATCAGACGCATTTTCAATCCAAATTGATACCGTCTGATTTTATTGATTGACCAATCAAATTCGAGCATTTCACGTGGCCATGGTAGAATATTCATTTGACTTACACAAGATATCCCATTTTCATATCTTATTTGCAAATTCTCAACACAATAGAGAATAAACATGACAGTTATGAGTAGAATTAGTTCCTAGACGGACAGGCAAATGAGCCAGCTCCTGTCTGGAGTGTGTATTAATGCACAGTTTGATGCTTCATTCCCTGTGAAAGTGCCAACATTGTAATACCACTGTACTGTGCTGCCCTGCATCATTACAGATATCGGTTTCACTCTCCACCATCAACATGGCCAGCTTATGTACAGCCAACATGGCAGGGCAGGTCGCATGAAAGACACAAAATTGTAAAATACAAGAAGGCTGTTAATATGAATACTTTGAGTTCTACATGGTTTAATCACATTTTCAAATCCCAAGTTCTTTGATGGAATGGGAATTTAAACTGTATCAGCAAATCACCTGCCAACAACACAACAATAAGTCAGTACGAAGAAATTTTGAAGAGCCCTGAAATAAGCCTGACATTATATACATCTAAGTTTACTTCAGTTGGCTACTCAGTGGTGTTTAAGATGTCCAACAGCCTATTACATTATTTTGTACTTATATTTTAT